AACAAAAACAGTGTTCGCACTAGTTGTGGCAAAATAATAACGTAAGTTATTTTTTTAGAGGAGAAAATCTTTCACAAAATGAAGTCAGACTCTAGCCCTCTAGTCATTTCCTCTTTGTTTAATAATTAGCATTTCAAATGTCTCATTCTTATTTTGGAAAGGAAGTTTTAACACCCGCCAATACTTCATCCTGATCTGTGAATCAAAACATTTATACCTTCAACTTTGTAAACCAAAAATCCATTGCAAGACTCGGGTGTCTTAAGTTAAGCAATGATCAGACTTACCTGTAATATAATTGTAAGTTATATTAAAGAAACATTAATATTATATTAAAAACAGGCTCGGTAAACAAACTTGTTGTCCTCTTTCCAAGAACTAACAACATGAAAAATAGTTTTAGTTATCGCGGTGCAACCCTTTGGAATAGCTTACCCTATGACATTAGAGAGTCTGGTTCGTTAAACTAATTTAAAGCCCTTCCCTATCATAATTTTAAACACGGCATTCATGGAAATCAGGTTTTTAAGTGGCACATTGTTGTAAGTTAATATAATGTTAGGATTAGGATTTTTAGGTTCTTAGGATATTAGTCATTGTATTGGAATTTTTTGTACCTGATGAATGTTTTTTACCGCGTATAAATAATGATTAAATAAATAAAGTTGACGAGAAAAAAAAGGGAATGAACTAAGTGACCTTAATGACGACAAAAAACGTTTTAACCTTGACAAGAGCGAATTCAAAGATAACACAGTGAAAAAGCCTGTTAACAATGTTATATATTATTCTTTTGTGCTTCTGTGTATTCACGTGCTCGTCTGTATTTTAACCCCTGTTTATTAGTCCTTTTGTCCCAGTAAATTTGCTGAAAATTGTTATTAGGCTACATCATCTAAATCCATATTGAAGAAAATAAGCACCCGAGCACCATTTGTCATAATTTAAGATCTGCGCATAAAAACCCGCGCGGAATCTAAACGCTCGCAATTTAATCATTTCCCTATAAAAAATTCAAATCACAGAAAAAAGTGATCAACATTTAATAACAACAAAATCTAGAGGATATGTGTTAATAAATACACAAATAATTAACTGGTCTTATGTACTGGTAACTTCTATTTTTTATCTTCCATTGTGAAATGACGTTCATTTGCAAGGATTTAGCATATGGTGCAGAGAATCCAGCTCTCATCTTCATCTTTATCGCTCTCTTAATTCGTACAAATTCCTTAGGATATATCTCGTGCGGCCGTCAAAAATTGACAGATTGAAAATTTAAATGAAATTGAGAGCGCTTGAGTCGTGAAATTCAATGTCCCTTTTAAATATTTGCCTTTCGAAATTGCGAAAATAAAACATCGTTAAATGTTATCTTCTCAGAATCGCAAAATTAAGTAATCGCGAAATTTTAATAAAATTTAAAATCACTAAGTTAAAAGTACCTGCTAAATAAATAAAAAGCTGATTGAGAATCGTCAATTTTCTTTTTTTATTTGCGTGAAGACTTTGGGAGGCCGTGGAAGATGTCACTGAAATATTCACATATTTTGTTGCACTTCCTCTCCTAACGAAGAACTTGACACACAATTCAGTTATTATTGTTTGCCCAACTTTCTCATTTTTGATCAGCATAACAGGACATTTCATATCGAAATCAGGCTTGTTGACAATTGACTCATCAATAAAAATTCATTTAAGTGTACGCATGCGCCTATGTTTGTGTTCAGCGGAACGCAAGGAAAGTGAACGAGAAACTTTAGAGAGAATTGTTTGTCTCAGCTGGTTATTTTGCTCCTAGTTTGACTGGTGTCAAGGCTCTCCGAGTTGTTCTTTACTCCTTACTCATTAGGAATATTAGTAAATTGTGAATCTTTCCCAAAATGCCACAGTGTTATCTGCAAAACAGGACCGTCTCAGTCATGAGAGGACGTGCGGACATACTACAAAGACACAAAGAAAGTGGGAGAAGCTCTGCCATAAGCAGCCGAGACTTGAGAATTCTAATCAGAACTTTCCGAGGGAAAATTGGACTCTAAAAAACCGTGAATTGTTTGGCTGAATAGCAATCATTTTATTTGATAGAGGGCGGGGGAGGGGGAGGGGGATGGGCGAAAGAATACTTGGAAATAACAATTGACGAGAGTAGGGGTCTAAAGGTATAGTCAAGAGGTTCTCTTAAAGGATCTTTCCCTGTTAACAACCAATTTCATGTCAAGTGACCGGTTTATTTCTAAAAATGCTGAAGTCAACCTAAGTCAAAACCATATAAATATACAATTACAAAACGAAAATTCCTTGGTTATTTAGACAAAAGAAAAAGAACCTGATCAGTCCACCGTATATCATAAAAGTGGACTTCTGTTTGCTGCTAAAAATATCATGCGATTGTCTCCCGGCCTACTATTGAGGGATGCATGCTTAAAAAACGTCGCCAAATTTGCCAACGCAAAAATCATTCTATTCTCAAATCAGTTGATAAAAAAAGCCCACACAGATGTTTAAAGCTGCGCAAGTAATAAAAGTAGAGGTTGTCTCATTTTAAATTCACTTTAGGTAATTTATACATCCCTAACGCTTTTTTAAATTTACTTATTTGGGCTAAATAATTAAGTCTATAAGACCAGAATTAAAATAGTCAGATACCTACATGATGCCATAGAAAATAATTTTAAGAAAGTTGAACATGTAAACATTTCAAAAGACACAAAATAAAATTCAACCCAGTCATCAGTTTGTAGCCACGGTAAATAATTACTGTGGCTGTGATATATATTGCACATCTCCATTCAGCATAATCTTCCTTAAAACTCAGATGTATAACTATTTTTCATTTTTCACGATTTAACAGTTCAGTTTGTTGTTAACTAATCCTCCAAGTTCGTTAATACTATCAAGCGGCCGTTATCCTTGGAATTAAATATTCAAAACTGTAGTAAACAAAATTAGACAATCATCTTTTACTTCCATATGTTTAGTTAGAATTTGAATAACAAAGGTACTTTTCATTATAATCTTATCTTTGGGAGAAACCATTGAAAGATGTCAACGAAGCCGATGTTATTTTACTTTTCTGTTGATTTACTTATTGCAAAAAAAGTTCAATGGTTTATTCTATTAAATTTCCAAGACTAAAGAAACAAAAACTGAAGCTGGCATTCCTGCACAGTAAACAAGCAATACTTATAAAGTAGATTATTAAAAAATGGACAGTTTCTGTATCATTGTTATTCTAATTTTTATGTGTAAGGAAGATAAAATTCAGCTACTTCAATATATGTAAACAAAGTGTCTTCAAGATAATTTATTGTGTGGGAGTTTGGTTGTTTTGTGAAAAAATTAATTGCAACTTCAAGAAAAAGGAAGTAAATTAAAAGTGAGAGGATGTGCTCATACCATCAGACATATCCCTCTCCCCTGAAAATTACACTCATTTAAATTTAGTATGAGCCAGAAGAACCATGCAACCAGAATTCCACTGGTCTCCGAGGCCTGATGCAACTTAAAGCGCAGTGGAACCTCGATTTAACGAACTTCGATACAACGAAGTCCTCGATATAACGAACGATAGTCTTCAGCCCGACCAAAGTTACAGTAAAATGTATAGGAAAGAACCTCGATATAAGGAAATCCTTGTAGAACGAAAACAATCCAGAAGCCCAAACGTATAATATACCCGATATAATGAACAAATGTCAACACGTGACAAAAGACAAATGCAAAACAGACCAACAAGAATCAAAATCCTTTAATTCTATAACAATAGGACGTCACAGTTAACAGCTCATTATAATTGCCGACGGCGGTAAGGTAACGGCGCAGTTCGTAATTTCGTTCGTATACAGATACGAGAATTTCTTGAAGCCACTAAGTATGTCGGATGGTATATATTTTTACTTAATGGCCGTTACGTACATTTGTGTCAGTATAATAGAAAATTCTAAGATAGCCAGTAACGCAATGACAAAAAAACGAGATTTATGATCATCATAAATCCCACGAATGCCGACACTGACACTATTGACACATCTACAGATTCGCTTTATCCTCTCTGTCTCTTATTAGTTACAATAAGGCTTCTTGTAGTTAAACTTGTAAGAGGCAGGAATTACCTCTTTCATACCCTTGTTTCTCTGTTTGCCAGTGACTTCCACTGAAATTTGTCCTCCGTGCTTTTAAAACAAGGTGCTGTAGCTATGTACAGACCTGTACAGCATACTGTAGCTTCATGTAGATATTAACGCACAAATGTTAATTACAGCAATCGTTCCGATCCCGAAATGCCCGACGTCACACCACCGAAAAAAAATTTAACCATCCCTCGATTTAACGAACATTTTGGTTGTTTTTCCGCAAATTCGTCAAATCGAGGTTTTCGATATAACAAACCCTAATCTGCATGTAGCCGTACCCCCCTCCCAAAAACAAACAAACAAACAAACAAACAAACAAAAACAAAAAGAAAGTTAGGGAACCGTCGCACTAGGCATCTTGTTTTCGGCGGGAAATTGGAACCGGTGAGGACTTCCTGATAACATTACTAGAAACCACTGTTCAACCGACGGCCGCCAAGGTATACATAGCTATTCTCGATCGGCTGCATTTCTATAGCATGACGTAATACTACATTCAGAACAAGGGATGATTTGAAGGTGTGATTTGAATCCAAATGGCTGAGATGGATTTCTTAGTTGAGATCCTGTTAGGAAACGGTGTAAGAAACTGGATAACGGTTGGGAGGCAGCGCATACCGCGCACTTATAACGAAATATTAGAACAATTGGAGGCGAAATAAGTCAGAGGATATTGGAAGATAACATGTTATTTAAAAACACTTTGACTTTGTTGACGAACACTGATTGATTGATTCCGTAAGACACACTTAGAAAGACTAAAACTCACAGACTCACTCAACCTACTTACACGTGTCTATTCCATAACAAAAACCACCACAAACTAGCTTCCTGTGCCATGGTTCGCTAATTTATTGTTCAAATCGCATGCCACACATGAACAATAGCGAGTTTAAGAAACGACGACGGCGATGCTGTGGACAACGTCGGTTAAAAAGTGAACCTTTATTTTACTTACGAATCTCGCGTTACTCTAAAGCCGTTTAGTTTGTTTTTCACTGTGAAATCTATCTGAAACTAAATAAGGAACAAGGCGTTAAATTAGAAATAGAAAATTAAAAAATTAGCCGTCGTCGGTCACGTTCTCCAAAAAACGCAGAGTTTGGTGATTTCACGTTGTAGTTTTGCAGAGAACGCAGAGAAATTTAGAAAAATTTATAACGCACCCACAAAGCCATTGTTCTATTCATTAAACCTTATGTTTAGTAATGTTCCCGTTGCCGTTGCAGTTGTGGTTTTTGCAGGCCCAGCCGATCACGTGGAGCAGTCAGAGCCTCAAGAGCGCGCTGCCTGTTAGGCTTCTTCTTTTACTGAAAGGCGAGGTCAGCACTCTGCAGTCCTCCGTGTTATAAAACGAAACTGGAACGTTCAAAGGGCCATTTTGTATCAGTTTTCCAGGCGACTCTCTTCAATGGACACGTGAAGAAAGATGGCATGTTAACTTTACACGAGCCGCCTCGGACACAACAGCTTGAATCCATCTTCTACGTTTTTATGAGTACTGAGTCCGCTTTTATGGGATAAAAATGACGTACATGTAAGATATGAGATCAAGGTCTGATTATTTATTTCTACAGCTGACTATACTCTTTCTTCCCCATTTTAGTGAGAGTTATTCAAGGTCTGATGCTCATGACCATTTCAGGAATTTCCACAATTTTAAAAGGAATAATCAAATATATAATCTTTTTCTCTGAGTTGTTAAACCTACTTCAAACCTCTACAGCTGGTTCCAAATACATGTCAGTAATCTATTTCTCACCAACTGAAATTATGTCAGTTGCTATAAAGAAAGCAGCAATTACATGAGAGAAATGATCTCAGTTTATATCCCTATTAGCAAATGGAGACATTAACTAGTTGTTCAGTTATTTCAGAAGTCATAATTTTGAAAGGAATAAATTTCAGCTGAAATTCAAGCAAAGAAATGATCCTCACAGGTAGACTGTAATTTATTGTTAATAAGAAACTGCAGAAAAACACCCAGAAAAAATTCAGGCTTTGAAATGATTTGAACCCGCAGAGCCTTCAAGATACTAGTTGGCTACTCCTAGCAACTGAGGTACTGAGACACTCATTGAGAGGCAAGTTTTAAGGCGTTCTCCTTTCCCATTAACAATTCTAATCATAATTTTTTTAAAATTAATTTAATTTGAGCTGCAGATGAAAATCAGGCAAAGAAATGGTCGTTGCAGGTGGACTGTAATTTAAGCAATTGCAGAAAAGAAGCCAGCAACACCTCCTACATACTAGTTGAGTGCAGTAGCACTAATTGAGCTATGAGGCCAAAATTCAAAACAAAAACTAGGGAAATCTCATTTGTCTTCAAATGCTAAAAAGAAAAGATTTGGACAGGGGTTATAAATAGTGGTGCCCAGCATCACTACTGAAAGCTTGATCTGGTAATGATCAAATTACATAAAACAACTGTGTACTCTGATATGTGGTTTCCATTGCACCAACACAAGAGAAATGTACTTGTAACAGTAAGAAACAACAGTAATAAGAGTTTCCTTCAATAAGACAACCACCAACACTGACATGTAAATGGTATGGGTAACATCCACCATTAGTTTTATCAACTGAGTTAACAAAACCAAAGCATAGTTGTTTTTTTGGAAACTAAACTCCCTTATCCTGTAGATCAACGGCATAGTGTGCCAACCTGTGGGACCTTGTATCTGTGACAATTCAGTGATGATACACAGGAAACAATAGCTTATGGATGATCAATCAAAAGTGTGGCCTACCTTGCTCTGGTAAGTAATATTTCCTACAGTAAGTTTGCAGAATGCACTTGTGGTGCCACAGGCAGCATTTGTTACCTAAAAAAATTATAATTTACATTAAAACTTAACAACAGTGACCTTTCACACTTTGTGTGGTCTTGCAGTGTATTTTGAGAAGCAGAGATTTTGAATTCTTATTTTCTTTTCTATCAAATAAAGAAGAGACCCCATCACACACTTACTCTAGGGAAGATTCTTGGCTGAGTCCAGTTTAACAAAAAGAGCTGCTGTCGCTAACATTTCCTCACCAATAATGGCTTGGTCAGGCTGTACACAAAAAACAAAACTAATAAACAAGCAAATAATACACAGTCAAGATCTTTTTGCCTCTTGGTCTGCCTAAACAAATGGTCAGTCCTGCTTACATATGTAAAGGACCAAGGTGCAGTTCTTGCTAAACTGGTCCCTTTTTTTGAGCCTGGCCAGTCAGTAAAAAAAAATAAGTTCTCTCACTGACTACTGTACTTCCAAAGTGTGCCAAAGTTGTTAGACGTGCTGAACATTACAGACAGAAAATGGTGAAAAGTTGTTTCTGAGCCTTGAAAACACACAGAAGGAACCAACTCACACACCCATTCTCAAAAGTACAGGTACACAACTTCTGCTTTCCATTTACTATTCTTTGACTGCACTGCACTGATTTGGTTTTTCTATTCAACTTGTCCTCATAAATGAAAACAACCCTTTTGTTAGGCTGACTGTGAACTTACCGGTGAGAGATCCTCTGGTTTGGCAGTCAGTGTGAACCATGTGTATCTCAAGTTGATCTGGTCACTCTTCACATTCTCTAGTGGAAGCCACTGTATTCAAAAATTACATAATTACAGGTTAGAATAAACTGAGTGAATTTAACCCTTTAACTCTCAAGATCTGATCATCAATTCTCCCCTCTGGCTACTACACATTTCCTTGTAAATTGATTATGAGAATTAGGTTTCAATCAAGGTAATACTGTAAATTGTACTTGATGAGTTTGAGTGTTCTCATTACCTGTTTGCTGTATAATGTATGGATACTATAGAGAGAAGTTACATGGTAATCACTTCTAGGAGTTTTAATCTGAGTGTTTAAACCAATAATTCATCACAATGGCCAATCAGGAAAGGGAGAATTATTAAAATGAACCTGTGAATGTAAACTCAGTTAAAAGAAAAAACAGGTGAAGTATCCAAAGTAGAGGAAAGTGTCACTTATCAAATCTCTATAAGTTTTATCTCTTTGCATGTGTTTGGCTCAGAGGGTAGCACATGTTTTCAAGACCAATCACAGACCATAAGAAGAAAACCCAGTGCAATCCTGGGTTGCTTTAATTCCACAATCAATTTAAAATTGCTCTAGATGCTATATCAAATCACATGGTGTTAAAAAAGGTTCCTAACACCAGTTATTGAATATGACATACAACTCTTTAGTTAGCGAAAGATTTGCAACTTACCAATTCAACATTGCCTTGTTGGACAATGGTACCAATGTCAGCCTCAACACTAAGGAGATAAAACATAATTTGTCAACATCAAAACGGTCACATACATGTAAAAACTGGAGATATGAGTTGCTTTTTACTAATTCATATTTGGATGCATACTTACTGTACGTTTCAAGAGATTCATAATCAGCTGCTTTGTCTTCATCAAAGACACCAATCCATATTTTCTGACCACGTGAGTTGTCCACAAAGGCCTTCACATAAACAATCAGAAACAAAACAATCAGAAATGAAATATCCTATGTTTGAAGTATGGACTAGTAACCACAAACCCATCAAACAAAATCTTTACCTCAAACACTTCATTCAACATTGGATTCACTGTGTTGTCCTTTGTCTTTGTGCAGAATGTCTTGGCTCCCACTGGCAACAGAAAGAAATATCCTCATGAGCTATGGTGCACATACAGTAAGATACTCATTGGTGTTCTAAAACAATGATCTTGTCCCAATGAATTTATCTCCTCATAGAGGCAAAGCAAATGACAAATCCAAAAAATGACTTAATAATTAATAAATGTATGCCTCATTGATTGCTGATTCTATTTAATTCAGAATAAACATCGGAAAAGTTTACACAGATGTAGAATTTTCAGAGGAGTTCAGACTTTCAGTATGATTCACCTTCCATGAAACTGAGGTAGAAAAATTTCAGTGACACAAGCACCAAAAGACACTTGGATACATATTACTGCTGGTCAGTAAGGGCTCTTTTATGTCTTTAGCTAGTAGAGTAATCTCCATAAGCTTTAATACATACCTCTGAGAATGACATTTGGATCTCAGCAGAACCTTTAGATATGACAACAATTTCTTTCTTGATTAAGTCTATTTAGCTTCCAGGACGTCATTGCAAAGGACACCCTGGAGTGACAGGAGAAAGCAAAATCAATTGTCAAAAACCTTTAAAAACTTCACTTATGTGTACACTTGGTGTACTCAATACTACTGAGTTATTCAATTTAAATAATTGTTTTAAACATGTTTTGAGGCACAATAAAAGACAATTTGCAGAAAGAAAATTCTAATGATAAGTACAAGTGATTCACATCAGGCAAGGGGTATTTCAGTTCATACGAATCACTGTCAGTCAAAAGAACTGTGATCCTGTTTGGGAAAACCACAAATCCAATCACAACATCATATATATTACTCTAAGGATCATGTCACTGAAAAAAAGGGATAGGGAAGTTAGAGAAATTCACATTGCCTCTAATCCAGATTAGTTTAATTTATAAATCATGTCTACTTTACTACAACTAATCATATGTTGAGTATATCTACTGTTGCCAGTGCAAGTTTTTTGAAGGGTGAAGCATACCTCAGACTAGGAATATCAAGAATATTTTCCATGTTTGTTAAGTCAAAGTCTATGTCCTGTAAAGAATAAAACAAAAACAAAATTTACAATAAGCTGAATCATACACCCAATTTGATTGGATCTTACTTTCAATCTATCTGAGGACAGAGGCATAGATTACATCACTATGAACAACATTTTACTTCCTTATAATATAAAACAATTGGATTCCTTGTTACAGTCTTGAAACACTCAGACACACTCGGCTGCAACTTAAGAGCCACTTTTTTTTTCTTACCACAATTTGACATCTGTGGTCTGTAACTGAACAGACCTACTGCAAAATGGAATGTATTTGTTAAATATCCAACCTGATTCAGTTTGTAATAAATTATGGCAACCTAAAAAACAACTTTCCTTGTCAAAAATTTGTTTCAATTAATTTTCGACTTACCAATCTGTTAAGAAAGAAGATTAACACCCGGCCCACCCACAAGAGGAACAGCTGGAATGAGAGGGCACAGAATCACACACAGACTTCCACGAAGCTGAATGGGATGAAAAAAAAAACCATAAGAAAACAGCAGGATAATAAATGAGAATTCCAGTTTCAAACAACTCATGCAGGTAAAAAATGTTCTGTTTGTAATAAATACAATATACCTGAAGATCTTC